AAACAAAAGCGAGCTCTAGCCGCTCAGTCGTTCAAAGGTGCCTCAAACCATAAGGGATTCACCGCCGAAATTACGTTACATTGAAACCATCTGCGATTTTCACGGGATCATCCTGTACCCTCTTTTTCTGCCAGATCCACCTAGAATAAACTTTTCCACGTCGATCTCAGATCACCTGTAGCACGAAACAAGGAGGTAGAGTCCAAGATCGCGAAGGGTCTTAACAGCCACACCTTCGCTCATTAAGTTGAGCCCTTTTCCACGGAGAAATGGAGACGTGCGATCTTGTAGCGCTCAAATAATCTTGGAACGCTCTTCATCAATCCGCTGAAGATGTTATTGCTCTGCTGGCTTACTCACCACACGGTGGTTTTGCTCACGGAAGGCCGCATTTCAGCACGGACTTTGTTCGGACTCCTTGTATAATTCGAGAGAAGACACCCAATTCCTCCTAAATTTTGAAGGAAACGCAGTCTTATTTACCAAGCTACTCTTCTTTCCGCACTGACCAGGATTTTCGCACATAGTTGCTTATGCAGTATGAGCCGGCCGACATGGGAGGCAGTTCTGCTCCTCAGCCATCCCACTTCAGTAAGTGCTCTGGCTTGAGCTTGTTACTGGGAAGAGAGGCGAGTAACACGAGGTATGGTAAACTCGATGTCGACTGAGCTCACATATATCCCCGCTTCCCTATTCCCTTCACGGATCACGAGAAATGGGAACTTTTTATGAGTAGCCCGATATTCATGAAACGGTGAAAATTCGTTCTGAAAAAGTTATTTGGGTTATTTAAGGGGGGATTTCGTCAGAAAAACACTTTCGAGGTTTTCCGTTATGAGGAATCTAATGGTGATAGCAGCGTTTTCCAAAATACACAGCAAGTTTGGAACCCAAAAATTAGGGTGACCTGATATTATGCAAATCGCAGTGTATTAGTCTGCTACACGACAATACCTAGAACCGTGTAAAATAAAACGCCAAGGATAGTTTGTTCCCGAAGTGCGACTGAACACTCTCGGAACGCTTTTGTTGTTTTGCCGACGGGTAACCGGTAAAGAGTTATTATAATCAATGTAGACTAGTAACACTATACGGTAAAGATGACATGGAATGCCATCGTTCTCGGAGAAAGCCAACTTTTAGCCGTTTTTTTCTCAAATATTCTGGAAACAATTCGGTACTCTCATTCTTTTTTGTCATCAAGAAATTCAACGTCAATGTTCTCGTTTTCGAAAATTTGAAGGTGCTCAAAAAATGTAATTTCCTGGCGTTTCTGCAGTAATTTGTGAGCGGGTGTTTTTGTAGGGCCTCTACGGAACCTTTTATCTTCTTGTCTTGTTCATCAATGCATTTTCAATTGGAAAAATGAGCAAGTTCCAAAATGATCGTTCCATTTTGCAAAAGTTGTGCTAGCGATCACATAACCATTGAGTTTCTCTACGAGAAACGAGCTTTTCGGGTGTGAATTTCAACGCACATGTGAAAACGTCCTTAGATTTTGACCGCTTGCCAGCCAAAGGGCTGCGGATCTGTTGAACGGAGACGCAGAAACTTTTCGATCCATTTTCTATTTCATTGCATATTATTTCCCGAAAGCGAGTGCCACTCTTGGTGAAAGCATCGTTTTCAGAATACTTCCTACTGTTCCAAATTCCCGACAAAATTTGAGGGTGGCGTGCAATATATGTGCCCCCTAATAAATACCGTCCCTATTCCGTCGGTTGGGGGGTTTTGTCACCTCAATGTATGATAACGTCAGCATAATTTAGTTTTACTTTATTAAAGCGAGAAATTACGATAAAATTTCTGTGCAGCATGGAAGAACGAGCAGCACTTCAAGCAGTAGCTAGAGCCCAAAGGAATCGAGATGTGGCCTTTTTGTGACTAAAGGTGCGCTCGTTGCAGCGCCCTGGGGCTGCCAATCCTTTCTGAGCTCCGCCTCCGCCTGTGCTCCGCCCCTCAGCAGATCGCTGTTCGATTATCATTCTGATAAGGTATGCCACTTCGAGCGCGTATCCAATTTTTTTCTCATGGAATGCTATATCAATCAAGGTATGATCTCTGGTGGTATGATGGCAGCTATGGTTTAACGAGTGCCGACGACCTCTTAGTTGGTTGCCAACTCGTCCATTATCGGAGGTCAACGGGCAGAGGAAGTGGTCCCATTTTGCGCGTTTTTGACGGATTTCTTTGCTTTTTTCGCTACTAGGGCATTATTCAGCATCTTCACTTCCACTATGAGCACAACAGAATCCTATCGCAATCTCTCGCTTTAAAGTAGATAAGCAATGGCTTTTTGTTGTCTTTCTTCCGTAGCAGTTCTCGCAGAACGACTGGCTAAGGGAGGAATGGTAGCAACTAGAGCAATAGCAGACCAGTCTCCATACGCAAGGCTGACCTGCACCTAAATCTTGCTTCAAACACTACTTTGCGGCGTATTGTGGCCTAAAGTGAGTTCTGAGAGTTAATAAAGTTGACTTGCGCTTGAGCCTTTTCAATGAATGGTATCAACAGATGCATCTTGAATACTTCTCGTGCTATCAAGGGATTCAAACATACAACGGCTGCCGAACGTATTTGCGGAAGCAGTTTTTGGCGCATAATGTTCCTGCCCTTCCAGTGTTGACCTAATTTTCATTCCTCACTTTTTCAGGAAATATTTGATGCAAAAAAACTATTTTGGTGAATACTATTACTTTTCGCTGATTATGACTCCAAAGGTAATTTCGGGATATGCAAGGTTGACCCGAGATGTTAGGAAACGAGCCTCGATTTGTGAAAGCCATCTTCCGGAGGCTTCAAAGTGGAGTGGTGCACCCATTAGAGGCTTCCATAAGGCTCCACTTCAATTGAGCGAGGTGGCCCTGTCGGTAGAGTGAAAAAGCAAACTCTTCTTCTCAGTGACTTTCTTGAATAGTTGGAACCAGTTATTCGAGACTGGTTTAGGAGGATTTCTCCAGCAACTTTTTTTTATTAATCTGCACTACTACGGGCCCAACATTTTCACACCTGAACGGATCTGGGCTGCGGTCGATTTTTTCTTTGGCTGTCCTGTTGAAAGCTCGTTTTGTCAGAATGATCACGAATCCATCGAGTTAGCCGCTAGTCGCTTATCTTTGTCCTAAATATGCTCACTTTTTGATTTTTTTGCTACGCATTTTTTCTTCTAATGACTCCACATTTAGGAGAAGTTGAAATGGCACGTGATCACAGTTTAGTCCCCGTTCCAATCTGACTCTCAAGGAGGGTCTTTCAGGACGTGGAGCGTGTTATCAAAATGGTTCCTTGGTATTTGTAGATTCTCATGCCAGGAATACAGAACCATGGTCCATTTTTCCTGAACGCTATTGTCGACGATGGAACAATCTGGGGCCGGAAAACTATATTGCAAAAATTAGTCATCACCGGGGATCGAACTCTGGACCATTTCTTCACCACTGTTTTGACATTCCTGGAGGCGTTCAGGAAAAATGGATCATGGTTCTGTGTTCCTCGCATGAGCCCCTACAACATGCAGAAAACCATTTCGAAAAAGCGCTCCATGTCCTGAAAGACCTCCCTTGTCAGATCGGTCAGGCAATCCACTCTTCTGGGTAGCATGATTGGTACTGTCTTGCCCATGAATAACACTGTCTAGCTTGTGCATGAGGTGGCCTCACAAAGTATTTCTTTGCTTTTTGAATGACTACGATTGGGAGAGGAATTAGGATGCATGGCGCAGCCCAAAGGGAATGAGCCAACGCCAGACCTTTTCAATAGACTTTTCAATCTCAACCCATACGCAGCCGCAAACTTATTTTCTGTCAAATCCTCACATTCTGTACTAGTGGAAAAAAGGAAAACCGAAAAAGAATCGGATGGAGAGAGGAAAAAAGGAGCTTGTCGAAAACGCTAAAAAATGATAAAAACGATATTATGATGTGATTTTTCTAGTTCAGTTTTGCCCAGGCAGCAAGTCAGGGTGCGCAAGAGAGTGGGTGGGCGAGGCAGCACAACGGATAGGGGCCGACAACGCGTGCATGTTGTGAATTAGGGAGAAAGGAAGCGGTCGAAGCTTTCTTTAGAAGGCTCTTGCTCCCTCTTGGCGCGAAGAATGCAGAATGTAGGTGACATTCGAGGTTCAGTCACTATATGCGCAAAGGTATGTCTCAATTCAGCACGGGGTTTAACATCAAGACGTTTCATGAATTCGCGAAGTATCTTGCGGATCTTTCACCAGGCAGGCGAAATGGGAGCTTACTTTCGTGCGTGATTCGGTGGCAAAACACCTGACAGAACGCAGGGTTAATCACTCTGCCTAACCAGACTTCACCGATCTACCTGAAAGATTTATGGTTCCCACTGCAAGAGTCGTTAGTGAGGTGATCGATATCGATTTTTTGTCTTTGTTTGTATTCTATGTGTCAGGGAGGTTTGATAGGGGGACCCCAGTTTGTGGCAGTTGACGATTGGTTTTTTGGAATCCTCGGTGAACTATCTTGGTTACGCCACGCATACCGTTCCAGTACAGTGGTCGTAGCAGTAATAGAATGAGGCCCTATCTCATGCAATGATTTGCAAAGTCTGTCATTCTTTACGTGGAGTAGACATTAGAAGGCCATGCCCGAACTCTGAATGGGAGCCGGGTGCATGGTGTAAGTCAAACTTCTAATCATATATATACCACCAATTTCTTACTCATTTTCGTCGCGAAGATCTCCCGCAGTTCTTCATCGCTTCTTGATGACATCCTTAACTAGCCATTGTTGACAATCCTTCTCATCGATAGGAGGTTCATCAACAAATCAGCCAGCCTGTCACTTGAATTTTCCCGGTCTGGTTTTGGGTCGCCTGACAAATAACATGCGTTTTACTTGCCAAATGCCTAGTCTTTTCTGACTCGAGTTACTTGAATTCGTAATTTTGAAATGAATGCATGCCTTGGTTCAGTGAAGCTATATTTCACCTCGAAGTCCCTCAATGGTACTAATTTCAGATAAAGGCTGGCCTCGAATGCTAGCATGCAGGCATTGTGGCCATATCACACCTATCGGCCAGTCACCTGGGATCGATACTACGTTAATGAGCATCATGAAAGTGAGTTTTATTTTCTTCAGCAGCCTGCAATATTTACTTAGCCGGCAGCCTTTATACCACTCAGCCGAGAAGGAAGAGTCGAAAAGTTCAAAGTCATTCTTCTCTCCGTTTAAGTCTTTCGAACACCCGATATTCAATTTTTTTGATTCTCCACATTTGGCGGCTAAAGGTGCTTTAGAGATAAGGTGAACTATCTGTTGCGCAAAATTTAGCAAAGGATCTTATCGGTGTCTATGAGAAGTCAGGTCCTGGAATGTAAGACTTTTGGAAAGTTTGGAAAGGGGCTGTTCCAGTCCTGCGCCTTTATGTTTAGTATAGACAGTATTATGTAAAAGGCCGCATTCTACAGCGTGGAAATAGCGCTGTCATGCGTAACCAGCGCCGTAACATTGATAGTGAGCCAGTTGATGAGGAAGGCGTTGGAACGGCGGCCAGCGATTTCTTTGATTCACATTCTCCTATGTTCTGGGAGAAGGAGATCGTTGACGTGCCCATTAGGTAGGGTACTGATAAATCATTTGACTACTTTTTCTATCTACTGTATTACTGCTATACTCATACTTTTATTATATCCTACGCTACTATACTTCAATACTATTACTATACTAATAATTTTACACGATACTTTTATTTTATTTTCTATTTTTATTGTTATTTCTTATAACTATTATTTTTTTCAGAACATCCCTCGGTGAGCAGTGGAGTGGCTGCTGGCGTCACAATAGGCATTTTCTTCATAGTCTTTCTTTTCACGTTCGGGTGCCGTATCTACAGCCAATACGCTGATAGATCACAATCACAAAACTCCCAAACGCAAGGTGAGGTCCCAGATTGATCTATCAGTTCAGCGTGATAAAAAATGGATATTTCAGACACGGGTTTGAGTGAGTCGTTAGCGGAGGACATGTGGATATGTGGTGTACCCCAAGGTCCACCGCCACCCTACGAGGTAGCTATTCGTATGCCGTCTTCTCCACCGGATGCGAGTCCAGTCTAAGGTGAGGTGATCGCTT